GGGGGGCGGGGGATTGGTGGGTGAATGGATGGGGTGGATGAGTGAATGTGGTTAGAAAGTTTAGCAGGGAATATAATTGAAAATGAGGTGGGTGAAGATCATAATGCTGAGGAAACCAAGAGGTATAGGGATGTATCGTTGCTGGCTCTTTAATAATCTTCTCTGCTTTGTTTTATTTGATTATTGTAATGAGATATAAGAATAATAGTATAATGGAATTTGAAACATAAAATGATATGTATTTTTTATGAATAGAAAATAAAGAGATATTATATATAAGAAATAAAATGAAACAGCAGCATGCAGCATGCTCGGGTGATCCTCTATAATGTTTGTTAACAGGCTTAGTTTCAATTTTTCTTCTTCTTTTCCAGAGCCCCATAATATCGTGGGACTTGTGTCTGCGATCCTGATCCTCTTTTTGCTGGTGGTAGGCCTTATTACAGGCATTATAATATACTGTGATCCTCGGGTCTATTGGAAAGGTACTTGTGAATCTTAGGCATCATTTTATGCAATTCCACGTCATAGTATTTTTTGAGTAACTTCTCTTGTTCACCGATGCTTATTTCTCATACACAATAAATCAACCAATTGTATTATTAAATAAGAACTCTGTGCTAAGTGCTAGACCGGTCCCTGCAGCCCCTCTCCTCCGCTCGAACGATAGAATGTCCCTCAGCGTTCTCGCGTCCAATACACTGTATTAGATGAGATGAGTCACGGGGCATTAGACTTAACCCTTGAAGTGGGGTAACCCCCACACTGCAAGGGATTAAATGCTAGACTGGTCCCTGCAGCCCCTCTCCTCCTCCACTCTAACAATAGAATGTCTCTCTGTGTCCTCACGTCCAATACACTATATTAGATGTGATGACTCATGGGGCATTAGACTGTCAGAGCAGAGGAGGAGAGAGGGTGTGGGAGCTGGTCTAGCAGCCAGACAGGACCAAGCTTCAGGTGAGTATAAACTTTGTTATTTCCGACCCTAGACAAAAATGAGGTTTATTGTGCCCAGAGCTCTTCTTTAAGGTTAAATGAAGTGTAAGAATACATATTTTGTTATAGAAGCAACAAATATGTAGCAGAGCCAGAATAGTATCTAAATATGTAATGATCTTTACTAAACAGAGCTGGAATTGGTTTAACCCAGAGCCAATTTAACACGGAGGACAAGAAGGAGATAAAGAGAAGCCCGCCGATTGGAGGGCCGTGTCCTTTCTTTTTTGATGGTTCCATGATATCCCTATTTTAAAGCTAAACCAGGCAGCGTTGAACCACACTATTTTAATCCCGTTATTTAAAATAATGAAAGCTATTCATACACAGCCAGTTGAGACTGAATGAGGAAAAATCAATTTCTCCACCCATACATGGAGGAACCTGCACTGCCATATGCCTGAATACCCGAAACGTGACTGCATCTGATAGGATGCAGTTGCTTTTCAGGGCCATTCACGGGCTCGAATTGCAGCCAATTCAGCAAGAATCATCTGAAATCTGAGCTGTCTATGGCCAGCATTGGGAGGACTGGGAGAGAAAGGGACAAGACTGTGAGCCAGTCAGGACTCCACTGCTGTCTTTCTAACAGAGCGCTCACTAACAAGGAGAGAGGACAGAGTGAGCAGAGTGACTTCCGAGTGCTGATCTTTCATTGTTCAATCATAGGCTGGGTAGGAAAGGTGACCAAAGGAGCAGATTGAGATTAGCCATGTTTTCCCATGGGCACCCATCAGATTGGTGAGTACCATAACTGGGGAGAACTGGGCGCATAGATGTTGCTTGTAGCTATTAAACAGGTAAGAGATATAAGAGGGATCCTAATATTATGAATTTGCTTGCACATACTTTCTTGAACACTTCATAGCACCCAGTGAGTTCCATAATCCAGGACACTCTGTTGTATGAATATTGATTTGTACTCCTGCACCTTGCTGTCAGCCACCTTATGCAATAGGTTACCTCACTGACCAATAGTAAAGCAAGGGAGGTTGGAGGGCCAAATTCTGATGTCATTTATTGAAGTCAATATTTGTATGGAAGTCTACTGTTGACTGTGTGACTGCAGGGGACTTTAAAGAGGACTCAATATATGTGGTGCTTGTATTACATTTGTATGATTAGTTTAGTTATTTTTAGTTGAGTGCACTTTGGTTTTAAATGGGCAGAAGTGGAAGAGCAGGCAAACAATGCTGCTTTCACCTCCGAAGTTCCTTATTTGTGTTAAAGCCTTTTGTCAGGAGGAAGAATATAGAGCTGCCTATCTGTTATGCATAAACTGTATGGCACCATGATAAGTTGCCTACCAAGCACACAGACAGGTGGCTTACCTTAAGGCATAAAAGAGTAAATAGGCAGGATTGGCACATACTAGCATGTGATGGTTTGGATCCTGCTTGCTGTGGGTCTGGTGTATGTGTTCTATTGGCTTTGTAGATGCCTGGGAAGTGCAGGCTTTTGAAAGCTTGTAAGGGTACACAAGGTGTAAAAACACTGATCTATGGGATTGATTTATACATTTTTTTACCCAAGATTCACACATTATCTAATCAGTTTCTATTTAAAAAATGTGTGAAAATTGTGTGAATCTTGGGGGAAAATATTTTTTAAATAGACCCCTTTGGCCTTGTTCACACCGAAAGCGGTAGCTGCTGGAATGCACCGTGATCGCTCACGAAACTTCCCCCTGCGTTTTGGGGCAGGAGGGGGCGCGGCGGTGCATTGAATTCAATGGCAACGCTTCCACGCACACCCCCCGCCCCCGCCAGCAGTGCAATCAGACGCATGGCAAAACATTGCCTGCGTTCCGTTCCACTGCAAACGCAAAAAATAGGGCTTGCTCTATTTTTTGCGGTTGAACGGAACGCAGGCAACGTTTTGCCATGTGTCCGATTGCACTGCGGGCATGGGGGGGGGGGGGGGTGCGTGGAAGCGTTGCCATTGAATTCAATGCACCGCTCCGCCCCAGAATTGCAGGGAGAAGATTGCAAAAGGGTTCCAGCAGCTGCCGCTCTGGAACGCACCGCTTTCAGTGTGATCAAGCCCTAAATGTTGATATTTATTTACTTTCAGTGTTCGGACAAATATTGGGAAACCACAATAACGTTTTCCCTTTTTTTTTTCCCCAGCAAACCTTTTCAGGTGAGTAATAAAAGCTTTCTTTGGTTTATGATGTTTTACTTATAACTTTCATAGAACCTAGAGTGTGAGAATTAAAAAAAAAATATTTACCAGTTTCATAAAAGAAGAAGTATTCCCTCCTCGTTGTTAGCAGATTCAGTTGCACTGTTTCCAACACTTGTAAAGTTTGTTTAGGTCACAAGGTGATTCACTGACTTAAGTATGGAAAGAATGTTGTATGTTCTATGGTGCTGTGTTACAGATCTGGACAATCTGAAGTCTTGGTTCTTGTGGAATCAGAGGAGGAGGAGGAGGATGACATGGAACAAACAGGAAATTCAGCTGAAAATGGTCATTATTCAGATACTGTTGCCAGAAGCCCTAACCCTCCAGCTGCAAATGGAAATATCTATAAACATCAAGTGTTATTTCACCAGCCGCCTGCTAGTAAGTAGTAGGACGTGGGAAGCATAACCTCTACTCATTTTTTATGCATGATAGAGATGCATCTGGGAATTGTTCAGTGTGAATGTATTAATAACAAAGGTGTATTTGCAGAACTTCTTCAAAGGCCTCTGCTAGACATAGACATAGACATATCTCCTTAGCATGACATAACTTGGAGGCCGGAACCAGGAATTAAACATCTTTATTCATTAAATTTCCTTTATTTATAAAAGCTG